TTTATTATTATTATTTTTTATTTTTTTTATCCTCAGTCATTAGTATAAGTACAACTGAAAAACCATGAGCATATAATCCCTTTTTTTTTTTGTCCTTCAAAAAGTTTTATAAAATTGTCTTTATATTTTCAGCTAAATCCCGTAATTGATCACCTTTGTATCTCACTATAGCAATTTAGGCAAGATAGCCCAAGAAGGATAAATATGAAATAATAGCTCTTTCATATATTAATCATGGCAAAGTGAATTATATGTTGAATTGTGATAGATGGATAGCAAATATTTTAACTAAAATTGAAGGAGATTCAAATTGATTAATAAATGTTGAGAGCAAATTGTAGGGAAAAAAATGGCATTAGAAGTACTATGTATGAAGCTCTTAGTAGATGGAAATTTGGAGCAGAAAATCTATCTATCTATATTTATATATAGAACTTGCAATCGTAAAGTTCAACATGGAATTCATCACTGAGATTGTGTAGTCTAACATAAAGAACAAGCATGACTGAGCAGCTCATAATTTGGAGTATCTTTGTCAAGAATGAACCCAATTACACAACTGCATTCATTAAATATTTTTAGAAAAATGGACTTCGGTGAGTTTAGGAGGGACATCATTAGCAGCTTTTTCTTCATTATAAGTATACGTAGTGTATAGTAAAGGTATGCTTTGCTGTTGTATGGTAGTATTATAATTATGTCTCTTCTACTGTTTTATAATATACTCTTGGTCAAATATGAGAAGAGAGCTTGATAACCTTTTCGATGCAGATGATTGTAAAACCCATCACATACATCCCCTCCACGGAGGAAAAGAGAATGACTATCACTGCTTTGGAGATGCATGATTATGTGAGATGTTCAATTCTTTCTTTACTATATGTATTAGTAACTAGAGAGATGTCATTAACTGTTAAGTATATAGTATAAGACATAAATTGTTTGTCTATGTTTTTTAATACTTGTCTACTAGATTACTTAAGAGAGTAAGTTTAGGATTAGTGTATGGGAACACTTGACAATATATGTCTTCCATTAATTTTCTATTAGAATCATATTGTCATGATGTACCTTAATATCATTCTAAAGATTTTGGCAGCTTGATCGCATATTATTGGAATTTTTGGATGAATAGAAGTCAAATAGGAGGATATTTTTGAGAAAAAGAACTAGGAAAAAGGATAGGAGCAAACATAAAATTAATATTGGTTGGACGAAGAGAAAAAGCTACTATTTATAAGACTGCCCCTAAATACAAATTCTCTTTGCTTAGCAATGTGACGCGGGTTAAATCGGTCGCTACAATCTAACTCTCAATCAAACAATACTTATACGAACACCCTACAACCAAGTACAATGGCAAATAAAGGTTCGGTCCACGAGGAACGAGAGTAATTGCAAATCAATCTTAAACCTAAGCTAGTTCGAAATCAATGGAAAATGGTGTTCTAAAATACTACTAATAAGATGGAATAAATCAATAAGCTAAGACACTAGGGAGAACGGGAATCCGCCTAACCATTGGTAACTAAGCAACAAGGAATCACAGAGACAAACGGGATATGCAAAGACTATAAGTCTGATCAATATCATGTGATAGGAAGACAACGGGCAATACTAAGCTTGGATTTCTCATGCACTTAACATTACTCGATACATAATCAAACCACATTCAATAATGAAATACTCAATTCACAATCTCTTGTTCAAATCAAGAATATCATGCAATCAAATTCAAGATTCTAGGTTAGCTACTCCTATTATAATGAATTAACATGCAATCGCATATAATCAATTTAATCACAATCCGTTTATCAAAATCAATCCTCAATTACATAGATTACCTAGGCCGGGTTTCATCCCGAAACCCTAGCTAGGAGACTACTCACACATATTCATAATCAAAGCAATAATGAATTCCAAAAGCATAATAGATATAAACATGAATTCTGATTAAGGAATAATAAAGCTTGATTAATAAACAAGAATGAATAATACCAATTGTATTGATGCGAATCAATGGCAAAGTTCAGAACTTTGATATCCGTCGTCAATGAATAATACAAAGAATCTTCGCAAATCTTGCTTCAAATCAATCCAAGAAAACTAAAATCTCTAGAAATATCTCTAAGAAAACTAATGAATCTCTAATACTAGGAACGTTCTCCAATAACTCTCTACAAAGGCTCTCAAAACTATCTCTAAAAACTGTCTTTTGAATCTTCTTAAAGTTGGGCTTTATATACGTCTTCTAATGCGGAGAAGTCAAGCGCGCAGTTAACCCTGGATCAGCACGGCCGTGCTGAATTTGGCACGGCCGTGCTAGCTTGTCAGTAAGTAAACCGGATTTCTTCTTCAAATTGGCACGACCGTGCTATATATGGCACGGCCGTGCAGCTTCCTGGCACGGCCGTGCTAAAAATGACACGGTCGTGCTGAATATACTCTAGCACGGGGCTCATACCGAAGCTGACACGGGCACGGGCAACATCTGGCACGGCCGTGCTAATGGCCTGCACGGCCGTGCGGGTGCGTGGATACTGACACGGCCGTGCTATTGGCTTGCACGGCCGTACTGCCTTGCCTGGGGTTGCTTGCTTATAGGCCAGCACGGGTGTGCCTATGGTAACACGGCCGTGCTGCCTGTGCTATGTAATCAATGCACGGCACTTGAACTTCCTTAACTCCTCGGACTTCGGTCAAGGCTAGCTCGGTTACGCATCAAGGGCTCGGGATCCGATTAAACTCGGTTGATATTACCTGAAAACACATCAAAAACAAACCGAAAACCCGTGAAGCACGTAATATGGGGAACGTAAGCATAACAAGGTAATAATCGGCCAAAGCGGCCCCAAATACATCCAAAATCATCCTAAAATATGCTCTAAAGCGCGCCCTAAAGTGCGCTTGTCAAAACCCCCCAAGCTACACTTTTGCTAGTCCTCGAGCAAAAACCAAGGGAAACACACACAAGATCAAATAAACTATGCCATTGCGAACAAATCAAATTAAGCACGGAATGAAATCAATGGATCCTACTTAGAACAACCATGCACGGAAGGAAAACTCACTCAAACAAGCAACGAGACACACAATCCAAGATATCGTTGATCAAATGCGAACAAGACCTAAACCAAGCATAGAGAACAAAGAAATCATGCTTCCCTCTAAACCCGACCAAACCGGCCACGTCCTCCCCTTTTGCTTCAAATCACCACCCTAATTGGCCCCTCGTGATTCCTCGAAGGAACCGGAAAAAGTGATGTTTTGAGGAAATAACAAAGGTATCCCGACATCTCGATTACGCATAGTCTTTCCATAGGGTTGAAAGGTATCTCCCTCCACCGTTTGAGAACCGAACACCTCTAAAGTCTAAGGGTCTTAAAGGGTTGTAATGTATTGGCAATGGGTAAGGTAGGTGAAAACAAAAACAATAGTTCAAAAGATGTAATTCACTTTCCACAATCTCATTGATTCACATTCTTACACATCCCAAATTATCCATATAATACACACTCAAATGACCTCTTTTAAACTTCAAAACTTTATTTATGTGTCCTTGCCTTTTTCACAATTCGGACGGCTTTTCTCTTCTTCTCTTTTTTTTTTTTTTTTTTTTTTTTTTTTTTATTGAAGGAAAAATGACTTTCACATTACATATTTACAATTAGGCTCACTTTCACACCTGCTCAAACCAACTATCAAACTTTATTTCTTGATTAGTAAACAATAAGCTCAACAAACCTATCTAGGTAAACGCTTCACAACTAAGGGTTGGTAAAACATTGGCCATCGGGTTTGTAACACGGTTAACCAAGAATGGAATTAAAGCTCAACATGGTTAGCAAGTAAGATGATGTAAAAAGAAAATCAATTTGTAACAAAACAAAAGGAACAAAATAAGAAAAACGAAAAAGGTGCCCTCTTCCTCCCTTAAAAGTGTCAAGTCGGTCTCGGGAGCTACTAGTCAACACAAAGATCGAAAAATGCGTAATCAAGGATCCAAATATGCCACTCAACAAGAATGATGAAGGCTAGAACAAATAAACCTCACGGGATCTAACAAATAAAGCAACTACCAATCAAGGAGGTCAAATCCACAACCGGGAAGCGACTCCATCTTACCACAGCCCAAAGGCATAGAGTTTCACATGACAAAAGTGTTCTATTTCTACCCTTCGCCTAGACTCGTCCACATTGATCAACAATAGACTCGAACTGTGTATTCATCACTGGCTTAAGTGGAAATAGACATTCCATACACATTCATTCACATTTCGAATCCAACATGAACAATATTCCAAAATTTTGCAATTAGACAAGTTTATTATGATCCAAAAACATAGGAAAAGACTACGAGGCATATCATATAAGCTAAACCACACATCCTCATAGCAGAAGCTTTTCCTATCTAACACAAACATATGTACAACTAAGCCAACTGAATAAGTTGAAAGGCACATAACGAGGCATAAAAATCACATAAAATCCCAATCGACAAACAAGTGATCGAATGATATCAACATCAACGATCCCAGGTTCTTTAGAACCGATCAAACATCCTCGAACCATTCAACTTCTTCCTAAAACTAAGCTAACCTAAGCACACAAAAGCAAAAATAAAAGAAAAAGGAAAAATCTCACCGGGTGCTTCTTGAAAACACATTAAGACAACATAAAATGCTACCTCCATGGATCTTCATATCTGCATAGGTTAGATAAAAACAAACCCAAAAACAAAACAAAACACTCTTCTTTTTTTTTTTTTTTTTTATATATATATTAAAGCAAAAATAAAGAAAATCAATAAGTAACAATCAATAAGGAAACCATTCACCCCCCCAAGCTAGTATAGACATTGTTCTCAATGTTTGGCATCGAGATACTACCTAGAAAGCAAAAAGGGAAAGAGAAAAAGTACCTCATTGACTGAAACCCGGGTTGCCTCCCGGAAGCGCTTCTTTAACGTCATTAGCTTGACGTGACTCGCAACCGACGGATTAACCATAACCATAATTCTCCTTTGAAAAGGAAGTAAGCTTACCCTTCTTATTCTTTGCAATAGGCCTCGCCCCTTCCTTTGGTACGACAAACACCGGGGGAACCTTTCCTAGATGCGTAGGAGAAGGTTTAAGCTTTACTTTTGGCCCTTTATCATCTAGAGATCGCCCTTCCATGTCTCTGTTTTCCTCATTCTCATACAACTCATAATCATGATTAGTATAGAATAGTTCTTTACGCATATCAGAAACAATGGAATCAACAGTATCAACCATCATGCCATTATCAAAATTAGAACAAGGATATTTCATTGTTTTGTTCAAATCAAATTCTAGAACTTCCTTCCCTACTTTCAATGAAATCTTGGCACCCTTCACATCAATAAGGGCACCCGAAGTAGCTAGGAAAGGACGTCCTAGAATTATAGGTATATTAATATCCTCATCCATATCAAGAACCACAAAATCAACGGGTATTACAAACTTCCCAACCCTTAGGGGAACATCTTCCACCTTACCCCTTGGAAACTTGATCGATCGATCGGCTAACTGTAGGGATATGTTAGTAGGAAGAAGTTCTCCTATATTCAAACGTTGATAAACAGAATATGGCATGAGACTAACACTAGCCCCAAGATCACACAAAGCATTATCAAAATTCATTTTATTAATAGCGCATGGGATTGAAAAGTTACCCGGATCTCCTAACTTAGGAGGCATTTTGTTCATTATAATTGCACTACATTGCTCAGTGAGGTTAACCGTTTCTACCCCATCACAATTTCTTCTACCACTCAAAATATCTTTCATGAACCTAGCATAATTAGGCATTTGTTTTATTGCATCAGTGAATGGTATAGAAAGGTGGACTTGTCTCAAAGTTTCCAAAAACTTCCCGAATTGGGCATCAAGCTTATGTCTAACATGTTTTTGGGGGTAGGGGAGTCTATGTAATAGGTCGGGTTCTTTGGCTTGAACTCCCTCCTGTTCTTTTGGGGCCTCATCAATTTTATCTTTTTCAATGGTCCTCTCTTCCTCACTTTCAATTATGTTTTCAATGATAGGTGGGGTCACAGGTTGACTCTCATTTGATTTTACTTTGTCATTCCCTATCAAAGTCTTTCCACTCCTAGTAGATATTGCATTAACTGTGTTCTTAGGGTCAATACCTTGGGATGGGAGTTTCGAAGTACTAACTCCATCTTTTATAGCTCCGGCCAATTGGGAAATTTGGGTTTCCATCATCTTATTATGTGTCATCACTTCACTAAACTTTTTATCGGTAGTAGCCATGAAAGTGTTGAACATTTTAGCTTGGGCCTCCATCATCTCCTCCAAGCTAGATCTCTGTGGTGGTCCTTGAGCATAATAATTATCATTAGGAGCTCGGGGACCACGCACATTAGATTGTTGGGGATTTTGATTAGAGTAACCTCGGTTATTGTTCCAATTTCCCCTATTGTTATTGCCGTTTCCCCCTTGGTTATATTGCCCTTGGGAATTATGATTCATTTGATTATTTTGTTGGTATTGATTTTGGAAATCATTACCAACTTGATTATAATTATTCCCTCTTTGATTAGGTGGTAGATATCTATTATTATCATTCCTAGGTCCATTATCATAAGACATAGCATTGACCTGTTCATTATTATATCTACTACCATCGTTATTATTAGGATCGTGAGAAGGGTTAAAATTACAAGCATTAGCATAATGATCATAAGACCCACAATTATCACAGAAAATACATCCATTAGGCATATTAGGAGTAGAAAAATTAGGATTCATACCTCTCCCCTTAGATTGGGAGGGAAGATCTTCGAGCTTCTCCTTAATGGTTGACATCTCCTTCCCGAGATTCGCGATTTGTGTTGTCAAGTTGCTAATGGCATTGAGGTGATCTACTGAGTAGACCGCCCCTCCACTCTTGTTCGTTGTATCGCGCTCGCCGTCTTGCCAATCCATGTGGTGTTGTACCACATCTTCGATGATCTCAATCACTTGATCTTCCGTTTTGTTCATAATTGGACCACCTGCTCCTGCATCCAAACTCGTCTTTCCTTGGGGGCTCAATCCTCCATAGAAAATTTGTAAAACTTGATAGGTAGGAATTCCATGGTGCGGGCACTCCCTTTGGTACTCCTTGTACCTTTCCCACGCTTCGTAGATCGACTCCCCACTCCTTTGCCTAAAACCTTGGATCAAGGCTCTAGCATCGGCTGTCTTCTTTTGGGAATAAAATCTTCCCAAAAATGCCGTCGTGACATCGTCCCAAGTGTGTAGAGAACTTGGTTTGACCTCCTTCTCTAGCCACTCAAGAGCTCTCCCGATGAGTGAAAACGGGAAAAGCTTTAATCTCACGAATTCTTGATTCACCCCGTTGACTTTTATTGTATTGCAATACTTCTCGAACTCGTTCAAGTGAGCCAAAGGGCTCTCATGTTTAGCACCACTAAATTGTCTCCGTTCGATGAGGGTGATCATGGCGGGCCGGATCTCAAAATCATTGGCTTGTGTGGTGGGTGGAGCAATCCCGCTTGAAGCTCTATATGCTCCCGGAGTTCCCAACTCCTTAAGTGGGCGTGGCGGCGGCGGATGAAGTTGTTCGTTATCCATTTGCGTTGGTTGTGTGGTAGGGCTTTTCGATCTTTCTCTCGAGGTCGAGGTCCTTGATCGGGATCTTGACCTACGGTTGTTTCGGCAAGTCCTTTCGATTTCAGGATCGAATGGCACTAGCTCTCTGTGTCTAGACCTGCGCATAAACTCTACCAAACCAATCAAATAGCAAGGCTACAAGTGTAGCCAAAAGGAAAAGAAAAATGAAATAAAACAAAATAAAAAAAGTGAACTAGACTCAAGCAATCAAATAGCAATTATCAAACACCGTTCCCCGGCAACGGCGCCATTTTGACGCGGGTTAAATCGGTCGCTACAATCTAACTCTCAATCAAACAATACTTATACGAACACCCTACAACCAAGTACAATGGCAAATAAAGGTTCGGTCCACGAGGAACGAGAGTAATTGCAAATCAATCTTAAACCTAAGCTAGTTCGAAATCAATGGAAAATGGTGTTCTAAAATACTACTAATAAGATGGAATAAATCAATAAGCTAAGACACTAGGGAGAACGGGAATCCGCCTAACCATTGGTAACTAAGCAACAAGGAATCACAGAGACAAACGAGATATGCAAAGACTATAAGTCTGATCAATATCATGTGATAGGAAGACAACGGGCAATACTAAGCTTGGATTTCTCATGCACTTAACATTACTCGATACATAATCAAACCACATTCAATAATGAAATACTCAATTCACAATCTCTTGTTCAAATCAAGAATATCATGCAATCAAATTCAAGATTCTAGGTTAGCTACTCCTATTATAATGAATTAACATGCAATCGCATATAATCAATTTAATCACAATCCGTTTATCAAAATCAATCCTCAATTACATAGATTACCTAGGCCGGGTTTCATCCCGAAACCCTAGCTAGGAGACTACTCACACATATTCATAATCAAAGCAATAATGAATTCCAAAAGCATAATAGATATAAACATGAATTCTGATTAAGGAATAATAAAGCTTGATTAATAAACAAGAATGAATAATACCAATTGTATTGATGCGAATCAATGGCAAAGTTCAGAACTTTGATATCTGTCGTCAATGAATAATACAAAGAATCTTCGCAAATCTTGCTTCAAATCAATCCAAGAAAACTAAAATCTCTAGAAATATCTCTATGAAAACTAATGAATCTCTAATACTAGGAACGTTCTCCAATAACTCTCTACAAAGGCTCTCAAAACTATCTCTAAAAACTGTCTTTTGAATCTTCTTAAAGTTGGGCTTTATATACGTCTTCTAATGCGGAGAAGTCAAGCGCGCAGTTAACCCTGGATCAGCACGGCCGTGCTGAATTTGGCACGGCCGTGCTAGCTTGTCAGTAAGTAAACCGGATTTCTTCTTCAAATTGGCACGGCCGTTCTATATATGGCACGCCGTGCAGCTTCCTGGCACGGCCGTGCTAAAAATGACACGGTCGTGCTGAATATACTCTAGCACGGGGCTCATACCGAAGCTGACACGGGCACGGGCAACATCTGGCACGGCCGTGCTAATGGCCTGCACGGCCGTGCGGGTGCGTGGATACTGACACGGCCGTGCTATTGGCTTGCACGGCCGTGCTGCCTTGCCTGGGGTTGCTTGCTTATAGGCCAGCACGGGTGTGCCTATGGTAACACGGCCGTGCTGCCTGTGCTATGTAATCAATGCACGGCACTTGAACTTCCTTAACTCCTCGGACTTCGGTCAAGGCTAGCTCGGTTACGCATCAAGGGCTCGGGATCCGATTAAACTCGGTTGATATTACCTGAAAACACATCAAAAACAAACCGAAAACCCGTGAAGCACGTAATATGGGGAACGTAAGCATAACAAGGTAATAATCGGCCAAAGCGGCCCCAAATACATCCAAAATCATCCTAAAATATGCTCTAAAGCGCGCCCTAAAGTGCACTTGTCACAATGACTGAATCATTTATGGATTATTCTCTATTTCTTTTATCTCTTGCCTTACATGCCACAATTACAAAAAGATGATATATTGAAAGCTAGGACTTAGATTATTAGTAGGTTTTTCATTATATGATAGTTGCATAGGTTAATTTTAATATTTTATGAACATGATATGAATTATTTGTTCAATCTAACTTTTATATAATGTGCTATAAATACATTCTATGCAACAGGTTAAACGTCATAATTATCTTGCACGTTATCATTTGAAGCATTACATTAAAAATGGTGTGCAAATAACTCAGCAACACAATCAACAACGCAACGATATTTGTACTTTTGCAGTAGTTGGTAGACAGCTAGAGTATCAATTGAAGTTCCAATTTCATTGCGTCAAAGAATCTGCTATATAAATCATGAAAAATGGCCCGATGAGCTTATCCAAAGAAATCCTGATCGTAATCCATTTTGTAGATGGAGGCCAAGTGAACTATTGGAAAGTGCTAAAATTTTTGGTGTGCCTCTTTATGACCAGGATAGACATAAAATTCAGTATTTTAATAGTCAATACCCTGTGAAACTAGGTTTTTTGAGAGAGTTGCTTGTCGAGTTTCCTGTTGTAGCCGTGATTAAAATCACGGAAGATTACCCTATGAATGGTGAGTATGTCTATGAGGGTAAAATGGAAGTGAAAAAGGAGGTTATAGTAGACCAAAAAGGAGTGAATTCAACTGTTGAGGCAACACATGCAGTTGTACTTCTTGATATTTGTGATTATAATGGAGATACATATGTTTGTTATCAGAACTCATATGGTGATTCGAGTGTGAGTATGTGCTCTGATAGTATTTCTTGATCGCGGTTTGAAACTGTGTTGGAGATACATTATGGAGAATCTATCCCCCCCCCCAATGCACCCTCCACCTGTTCTACAATCTATGTGGCAAAGGAAACAATTTGCAATTGCTTTTAATAAGCTTTCTTCATTATTTCAAGAACTTGAAGTAGCTTATAAAGGTGGTAAGCAATCGTGGGATGAAGTGAGGAACCTTTATTGTAAAGGTCAGGTAGAAAAATCAAAGGAGACACTCAATGATGCTGTGAATTTGTTTAAAGTAGCTGCAAATATTGTGAAGGAGATACGTCCTTTGGTTATAAAATATAGGGGTGTGGAAAGTGCTTCCAGTCTCGGGTCTTCCCCAATTGAAAAGATTGCTTCTGATGCTATCGAAAAGATTGCTCTTGTTGAGAAATTGCAGACAAATTGCCATTATCAGATAGAGCATTTCAATGCAAGGAAAAAACCGAGGAAATGATAGTAGATGAGATTTTTGCTATCACGAGGTTGTATATAATTAGTTAACATTATCTTTGTAGCAAGGTTTAAGTTTTAGTTTTGGTCGCACGTATTTTTAACGGCTATTTCACTAATGCCACTGAGTACTTAAAAAATTCACCAAATGCCATCGTGTTTTTCAAAATTCACCAAATGCCACTGAGGTTTAGTACAATATCATCAAATGTCATTTCCGTTAGTGGACCGTTAGTTGACCCCACCACTTGCACGTGTCACCTTCTGATTGGTCCGTTTTTTAAAAAAATTTAAAAATAACAAAAAGTAAAAAAAATAACAAAAAATTAAAAAAAAAAACTGAACCTCAAACCCCAGCCACCAGCCCAGCCGCCGGCAGTCCCGGAACCCCAGCCACCAGCCTCCACCACCCCGAAACCCCACCCCCCTTCTCTCTCGCCGCCATTTCTCCGCCGATGTCGGCCCCTCTCCCCTTCCCTTCTTCTTCCCAAACGCACAAAAACGCCATTGAAGCTCCGTTGAAGCTCACGCATGAAAGCTTGAGAAACATCATTTTTTCACCAATTTTTTTTAAACTTGTACCAAAATGTTCACAATTCAACATACAATCAATTAGAGCAAACAATTTTGTGAATTGCTTCACCAAACAAAAAATCCCAATTCAATTTGTTTAGGGTTCTTCACAAAAATTGGTGGTGATTGGAGTTGCTGCTGGTCGGCTTTTGAGATGCAGTGGTTGGTGTTGGCAGGTGCTGGTGGGAGTTGGTGTGGTAAGCTCGCTGCGTGGTTGTGAACTAACGGAGAGGGAGAGGAAGGGGGGTGGGGTTTCGGGGTGGTGGAGGAAGGGGGGTGGGGTTTCGCGGGTTACGGGGTCGCGACGGGATAGAGGAGGGGTCGCCGGCAGCCGGCGCACCTTCCGGTGCTAGCCCCGACGGCAGGGGGTGGTGGTGGCTAGGGTTTTGGGGTGGGCAGGGGGCTCGACGACAGGGAGGAGGTGGTGGTTGGCCACCTCTGAGTTTCTTTTTTTTTGTTGTTGTTTTTTTAAAAAAAAATTTATAGTTAGTTTTAATTTTTTTTTATTTTTCAAATATTTTTGGTTTTTTTTTAATTTTTGTTTAATTATTTTTTTTAAAAAACTGACCAATTAGAAGGTGACACGTGGCAAGTGGTGGAGT